AAAACATGCTAATTCTAAAGTAATTGGAACAGTGTTCCTTATCTGGTGATTTCCTGGACATTATAATGTATGGTAATTAGAACCTATTGTATATTCATGTTTTTCTATCATGAATTGTTGTATAAACATACAATATGTACTAAATGCTAAGTATGTTCTAACAGACCTCTCCATTACATTTTCTCTTCATTTCTGTATTCTTAAATTATTTTTCCTATTCTTCTCATTCTACTCCTCTTCTTCCATAATCATTCTATTCTATTCTATTCTATTCTATTCTATTCTATTCTATTCTATTCTATTCTATTCTATTCTATTCTATTCTATTCCTCTTAATAACATTCTTCCTCACTGAATTTTGAAAATGTTCTCCATCCTGTTCCTCTTCTTCGCATTCTTCATCTCTGCTGTTGTCTTCATCATTTCGGTTCTCTTCTCCATCCTCGTCTCCCTGCTCCTGTTTGCTGCCCCAGCTCCCCCAGGTGTTGGCAGCGCAGTGCGAGGCGCAGCCCGGCAGTGGCTGCTGTTGGTGCCGTGTCTGTGCCGCTGTTCCGGCCGTGGCCTCAGGCAGGGACAGAGGAACAGCCCCCGCAGCCCCCGCCTGATTTCAGGTTAACAGGTCTCGTTTTTCCTTCCTGTGTGTGAACCCAGGGACTGACAATGTCCAAGTCCCTGTCCCCTGGGAAGCAGATGAGGACAAAGGGCTCTCTCAGCGGGAAGTGGATGAGGATGCAGGGCTCTGCTGAGGAGCACAGGACAGTCCCACTGAGCTTCCCAAAGGAGGCACACAGCACCAGGGAGCTGCTGCCTGCCTGGAGGAAGCAGCTCCCTGGATGGCTTTGCAGCAGAGGATGGATGGGATGCAAAAAGAGATGGACAAGGGAAGGGGAACCCCAACTCCCCTGCTGCCCAAAGCCAACTGCTGAGCCTGCAGAGGAGGCCGAGGGTCAGGGAGGATGCAGGAAGGAGAGGCCAGTGCAAGGGCCAGAATCTGCTCTGCCAAGGGAGCCATC